TAATCATTATTATTCATCCAACGGTATATTGACCCTTTAACGTTTACGGCTTATTGGTGTTGGTGGGTTCGATTCTCACCGCGTTCTTAGGTCGTTCGGAATCGGCGGTGAGCTTTATGCCCTTTTTCGCACAAGCCAGAGTGCTTCAGAAGGAATAACTACCACTCATAAGAATGCTTCGGAATGAAATTAAAATAATCCTGCAGCGTACATAATAAAAATAATAAGCATTTATTTCCAACAGGTAACTACCCAATTACAGGAAAATACATAATGAATAAATATGGTTACTAAAAATATCAATAACAACATAGATATACAATATTAGGAAATAATTATAATAATAAAAAACATAATCAAATATAATAATCTAAAACTATAACGTCAATATCTAAATGTTCAATCATAATAATAATCAAGAAAACTAATCACTCGGAACTCCATTCGGAAGAAATCAAGATACCTCACTGTTAAGATTCAAATACACATTTATGATGAGAAACAAGTGAGTCCCAGTGCAAATTACAGCAGCTTGATAGTTGTTTTGCAATAGAACATGCAAAGTTAAGCGGCGCTTGAGAGAGAAGATTGGTTCTGTGGGTTTTTGAGTAAAATGTCTTGCTTATTCTAGTACACCTGGGAGTAACGAAGAAATTAGGTTAACCCAAAAGCTCAGGACAGTCAAGATTATCATTGAGCAAATTGAATAAAAATTTCAATGCATTCAAATTTCTCCTGGTGTGGAGGCTCCTAGTGTCAAACCTCGATAGCAAACATCATTTCGTGAGGCTGGTGATATACACCATCCTCACGAAATGAGAGTGATTTCAAGAACAAGTACATGATTGTTGGAAAAAAACTTGTCAATCTAGAAAACAGTATTTTCTCTGCAATTTCCATTCAAAAATTGATTTACAGCAATTAACAGCCGTAAAATTCGAATTAGGTGAATCTCTTCATGACTTAGTGTGATGTATTCTGAAGATTCCGTACTCATAAATAAGTGAAAGAGGAAGCGAAATGCCTCATCCAATTCAATGAATTTCGATATGAAGGTTTCGATTTATGGTGAAAATTGTAAATAAATGGAAGTTTTTCGCATTATGTGTAATATCTGCTTATAAAGTATAATATATAACAATTTTGAAGAACTTTTGATATCAAATATATACTCAAGTGCATCAATCCATTGTTATTCCTTGTTTTTCCTAAATATTGTTCAGAAAATTGAATTCTGGATTTCTCTATGAAAAAAAAAAATTCTTAAAGCTCAAGAATCCCAGAGATAAAATCATTTCCGAGTTCACATTTTCCATTTCTATATATATATTCTGCATTTCAATTCAAACAAATGGGAAAAAATTCTCAATTTTTTAAACAAATATGTAAATCAGTATATATATATATATATATATATATATATATATATATATATATATATATATATATATATATATATATATACCCACATAATGAATTCAGATTACAAAGTCGCATTTGCATACATAATAAAAATCAGTAGATTTACCATACCTACGTATGTATTTTCAATATGTAGGAAATTTTATGATATAACCAAAAAAAAAAATCAAATGACTGCTTCACAAATTTAATCGAAAGAATTTGATGTAGCTATGTGAATTCTGTAATGATTCTGTAAAATTCTACAAATAGAATAATAGAAAGTAGGTACTCGTTGCCAAAAAAAAAATACATTTTATCAATGAAAAAACCTTTCAGAAATTGTTCGAAATAAAAAAAAATGTGAGAATATAGATTTGGTTATTACAAAAGATTCCTCAAGTTTGAACGCAATTGAAGAAAATATTCACGAAAAACTTGAGAAAAAGTTGGAACACCAGAAAATTGAATAAAATTCTGAAATATTTCTCTGTCTAGTAGTTCTATGAATGTTGCGGAGATCTGAAGTTACTCAATTCCATTGATAAAATCATGACGAACTTGGAAGAAATTATGAGAAATTTGTTAAATAATTGAAGAATTCGGAGAATTAATAATTTATATATCGAAAATTTCATTGACATGCTGTGTATAAAGGCCAAAAAAAGCCATTTTCGATCCAAACGGATAAAAAAGCAGAACACCAAATTTCATGAAAAAATAACTTGAGGGAGAAGGAAAAAAACCAGCCACAATATTCGAAAAGACATATTTCGAGAATTTCCTGAAAATGCAATTCATTTTCTCAATTGAGGCATACCAAAATTAATCCCATGTCGACCAGAACATTCGAATGGTCTAAGATAAAACTCAACAACAGCGTCCAAAGAATTCGATATTATCTGAGAATCCTAACTGAATATCGCGATGTAAAATCACTAAATAGTTCAGAATTGAGCCTGTTTGTCTGAAAGTTTCCCACAGTGCCATCAGTAACAATATTATAAAGTAAACTTTTTAACCGAATAGTGACGATAAAATCTACTGCAGTGGTTTCGAGCGGTTAAGTTACCATAATTTCAGACCCAACAAAGCGCGTAAACGTAGATTAAGAGAAGATATAAGAATATCTCAAGTTCGTCCATCTGTGTCGAATACACAAAATTACCCGTGAATTATATAACACGTAATAAAATTTATCACGAGTATTACTCAATAAAACGTTACAGTAAATACGTGTAAAAGTTCTTTTTATTCATCACGAGCTCGAAAATTGTTTTCACAGTTTGCTTGTAGAATTCATCCTGTCGTAGCTTTATGCTGTATTTAGTACTATTGATGCGCTGCTTTGAACTGGTTCAGCAGTTAAACGTTGGGAACAACAATAGCGTGGACGACAGAGTTTTTGTACTCGCGCTGCCCACTTCCTTGCGTGAGAGCTGAATTTAACACTTTTGACTCAACAACTTTTCGTTTATAGATAAAGGGTAAATTGTCCGAAAACTAACTAACTATGAATCGAAGAAATGTCATAACCCATAACAAAACAGGGACAAAAAGCAAGCATTGTAATACATAAATTCCAAATTATATAAACATTAGTGTTAACATTTTGAAACCAAAATAACATCTCTCAAGTCTAAAATTGGCGAATTCAACATTTTGATGTCTACTCATTGCGCGTCTAACAATTCGTAAGATTATGTCTATTTCACTTAATCAGAAGTTGTTTCAGATTGCAATTTAAACAAATAAAAGTTTTCAACACCACACAGTTTTTTTATCTCCTGTAAGGTTGGTGAAAATAACTTATGCAGTGTTGTAAGCTAAGGGATTATTTATATTATACAAGAAATTAGAGAAATCGAGTTCGCCGATTGTTGGAGAACTGAACGAATAATAAATTACATTAAGCTTTCAGGAGTCCCAAAAAAATTCAAATAGTCGAAAGTGTATCTCAGCAAAATAATAAAGTTCATTTCACAATACTTTACTTTCTTCAATAAAACAATTGTTAAGCGAAGACATATACTAAATACACATAATACACATACACATTACACATATATTAAAAAAAAATGCTACGTGCAGACTAATAACATTTCTCGAATGTATACAATAGGTATGTATAAATGAACTTAAATTATGAATACAGAGAAAACAGGTAGAAGGGATCAATTCATACTGATCTACTATATAAGAAACTAAGTAATTTTGAATAGATTGAGAAGGGGGCTTGAGGTATGATCGATTTGACTGTATTGTTTGAAGTGATTCTAACAAATTAAGCTTCATTCCCTTATTTTCGTATTCAAAAATTCAAAATCAGAATTGAATATATGATTTTCATTAATCAAATGATCGATTAATTCACATCATGCAAATCATTTGATTAATGAAAATCATATATTCAATTCTGATTTTGAATACCGCAAATAAGGGAATGAAGCTTAATTTGTTAAAATCACTTCAAATTAATAAATAAAAATATTCTAGCCAATACAGTCAAATAGATCATACGCAAAATTTTTTCAATAAATCACAAACATCTTGTGTGGCAATTGAACACGGTCATTATAAGTAGCATATTGACATACATAGCTTTGATCTGGAACTATCACAATTTCATGATGATAGAACACATTGTGAACCCAGCTCCTATTACGCAAATACAACGTTGTATCGAATTCAAAATCCAGAATATAACATTCAACTTGCATCTGCTGATTCACCACTTAACATTAATCCTGTGTCACAAATACGAAGAAAAGTATAAACACATTAACTTACAGCCACAAGAAAACCCATTACAGGTATCTGACACGATTGGCATTACCCTCCGAGTTCTTCTTCACGATTTTATCTCTATATTCTATATACGACCAGGAGGCGAAGGTCAGGACGTTCCACCTGCCAATCTATCATTTCCTAATAAGGCCGAAGAAGACGCCGCAGAGCGAGGTTGTTAAAGCTTTTAAGTGATTAAAAACGAAAAGGCAATATCTGATGAAATCGCGAATGAAGTGATTTCTGATTAATCGTTTGATATGCCATCGAGTATTTGTGTATCAATGATAAGCGGATGGAGCACAGTTGGTCTGTAGGTTAGAATGTCTCAAGCTCACATATATCATGCCTTCGAATTTTCAATATACAACTTATATCTGAAGTTCAACTAAGAGGAGTATGTTAAATGAAAATTCATCATTGACGTTGACTTGAGAAATTTTCAAATAGATGATGAAGGAGGAAGATACATGTCTAAATTCCATGTCAAACGATTAATAAATTGAACACATTTTAGAGTTTCATAAATATCGTATATATTGTCCACTACAATGTTTTTTCGTTATTCAATGTCTTCATCAGGTGCATGAACCGACGCAATGTATGTACGCACATAACCTCCGAACGACTTCACCGAATTAGATAATGCTTTTTTTGTGTCAGTTATTTTTGGGACAAGGCTGGTATAAAAAGAAACTTTCAAAAATGAAGAGAAAATAGAAGTGAGTGTAATTTGACCAAACAAAATGAACGTTTTGCAGGCAGCAGTTGATTATTTCGAATATTAACAGTATAAAGAAAATTCGACATACCGGTCTGTGGTTTAATCGGTAGAACTCCCGACTATAATGCGGTAGAACTCGGGTTCGAGCCCCGCATAGGCATGGGTGTTTGTGTTTGTCTATGATTTAAGTAGTTTAAATAATGATATATGCTGTGGACTATACATCGATTACAAGCCCAATGCAGTTCGGAACCGAGTTAAACCGCACGTCCACTGAATTAAAAAAAGAGATTCGACATTTTTTCATAATTAATAACAATTTTTCAACAACAGCAGAACGGTATTTTTGTTTGTTGATGTGTATTCAGAGATCACCAATGTCATGTCATTCATTGTTTTTCATGAGAAAATGCCACCAATGATGCGTCAATATACTGAAAGCGTCAAGTACAATATTTTGTGACGATAATTTATTTAAATTAACCTTTCAATCAAGGAAAATATTCAGATTTCCAACTAAACTGCGGGCTTCATAATTTTTCATCTAATTGATGAGGAGATATGAAAAAATTGTGAACCTCCAGTCCAACAACAGAATAGGCATGTATAATAGGGTGGGTCAAAAAAATCGATTATTGTTTTTTACAAGTGACACGGAAAAATGGGTTGTTAGACACCTTAAAAAAATTCTCACTAGCATGAGCTCTTAATTTCAATAGGAAGATCCTCCGCATCGCAGTTTTGTATTTTTTTCTCAGTCCAATAGAAAAAAATTCATACCTCATCATTTAACGATTGAACAGAAAAATGTTCCCAGAGAATTTTTTAGGAAATTTAGTGCTCCACAAAAAAGGTATCTTATATTTTTTCCGTAAACCTCACCATTTGAAAGATATTAATGATTTAATTTTGATTATTTCAAGACAAATTTGATTTTTGTTTATGAATTTATAACTTGACAATAAATGACTTTTACGAAATGCGCAATACAAATTTTTGTTGGAAATTAACTTCTCTATAAAAATGGTTTCTTATGTTTTGGCGATGAAATTAACGTTCGGAAGATATTCATCATCAAACTTTCATGTGTACAGATTTATTTTTTGAATGGAGACAAATATACTTAAACATAAATAAAAACTTGGAAAATATTTTGAAGTTTCTCAGTTGATAACAACTAAAATTGTGTAAATTTTCTCAAAAATTATAAATTAAATTGAAATTTTTCGAATATCTTATCAAAAACTTTCAAAATCCGTACACATGAAACTTTGATGATGAATATCTTTTGAACGGTTAATTTCATCGCCAAAACATAAGAAACCATTTTTATAGAGCAGTTAATTTTCAACAAAAATTTGTATTGCGCATTTTGTAAAATGTCATTTATTGTCGAGTTATAAAATTCATAAACAAAAATGAAATTTGTCTTAAAATAATCAAAATTAAATCCTCAATATCTTTCAAATGGTGAGGTTTACGGAAAAATATAAGATACCTTTTTTGTAGAGCATTAAATTTCTTGAAAAATTTTCTCGGAACATTTTTCTGTTGAATCGATAAATGATGAGGTATGAATTTTTTTATTGGACTGAGAAAAAAACACAAAACTGCGATGCGGAGGATCTTCCTATCAAAATTAAGAGCTCATGCTTAGTGAGAATTTTTTTAAGGTGTCTAGCAACCCATTTTTTTGTGTCATCTGTAAAAAAATAATCGATTTTTTTGACCCACCCTAATGTATAATTGTATATGGAATTATTGAGAATCCAACTGATTCGAAAATACTGGAAATGTAACATTTTCCTCGGCTCCACAAAGGACAAATAGTACGAACTAGAATAACATGAATTTTAGTTTGGCACAAATAGTAGAACACGTAAGGATTTTCGAAAATATCGACGAAAAAATATATGAGCGAATAAAGTTCGCCGGGTCAGCTACGTCAGGTGAAGCTCTGAGGTGTTTGAATGAAATGCGTAGAAAGCCTCTACGTACTCTCACTAATCTTGTCACGAGGAAAGTATCTGGAGGAAAGTATTGGACCTGGGTGCGATGAACCAACGAAACTTGATTGTTTGGATGTATATCACTGAAGATTCTTAATGAAGACGAAAAAACTGTTCGGTATTTCCATTCAACAAGTTCAATGATTTTTCGAAATTCACATTAGTTAGGTGGTGTTTTCGTTGACAACATTTGTGTAGACAGTTCTCTGAAAGTGTTATTCAAGATATTTCGATAATTCGATTAATAGTCTCAGAATTTATTTACTATGAAGGACTCGGGAATCTAGAAACTACGAATTCATGAACCAAATCAATTTGAAACTTCTGTCGACATGAAATCTACTAACTGATACACAGATTCCAATGACAGTGAGTCAAACGTTCACCTCCAAGTACTCTTGGATCTACAAGATATAACAGCCTTGTGGTCCGATGGAACGAATCAACAAGTTCATTGTGCCAAAAGAGGTAAACACGCATAAAAATTAAATAGCATAGCTATATGAATGATATAGTGCATATGAATGGACTCATTTTTATGCGAACCTTGGTAACCTTGTAGCTCGGTTTCATTCCGAGTCGCTCTTTCAACGAATATGCAATAAAACCATGCCATGAATAATCGGCATTTATAAGCGTTATTTCACATCGATGACTTTCAATGGTGTCTAGTCAAACGCGGCTGCATTTATGATATATCGCATTTGCTTTAGAGTACCCCACACGTATATCGTCTGTTATCGTCTGTTATTTTGAATCATCCGTTTTTTGAATTGCAGAACTTGCAAAGAAAGAGTTGGACCGTCGTTTTGTAACGCTAAGAGCATATTTCATGAGAAAAAATCAACATCACATACTAGAATCAATTACCTCTGACTATGTCCTCCATCGACAGATTTTGCTCAAATGCGTTCATTTCATCGCAGTTAAGCTTCAAGAGGACTTTTACCTCGAATTTATTCTCATAAACACGGTAGGCCGTGTTTTTCTTCCACATTTTCTCATTTTATACAATAACGTATTCCAAAAGCTGCAAAAGAAACACAACACTATCGTTTAAAAAACAAAGATATATTTGACAACTTGAATATTCTAATGGCAAAAATTAACTTCAAACTGCAGTCTGTTGACACCCCTATCTTTGAAAACAGATCGAATAAGAAAGTGAAGTTACTCTTAAATTTAGAATTGGTACATCGAACGAAAATTTTATACCTTATCGATAATTTATACCTTTCATGAAGAAATGGATAAACGTTTTTCTTGAATAAAATGTCCACTATGTAAACATTGAACTTCAAAAAACATAATATCTTAATGATCTTAATTAATAATCTTATCATAATGTTAAGGAACCTTGTGATCGATACTTCACCGTTTGAAGCACAAGTCGAATATTTTCGTTTCAGGAACTTGAGATATAAATTGCTGTTTGAATTGATAATCGGTATTGAAAAATATTGAAATTTTGGTACACAACCTTATCAAAAGGTCCTCAAAAAGTAATAGACAATATGAGATTATTATGTCATAAGATTATACTTCAATTACAGCGAACTAACTGTCATCAAATCAAGTGTCCCATGTTTAATACAAATAATAATTATAGTAACGTTTATTGGTCCTTCAAAAACAATATTTACATTGAATATGGTGAACAAAATTGATTCATTGACTACATTCGAATCGTAAATGTAGTATGTCACACAAAAATATGTCTTTGTCAACAGCGAAGACTTGACGCTCTAATAAGGCGAATGGAAATTTATAGTGATTTCGAATTCGACGGTAAATGATTGAAAATTCAAATAGTCTGATAATAGCGTCACTACTTCTATTTAATTTGATTTAATTTCGTAATTATATGTATTTTTTCAATTCCATAGATTCGTGCTTGGAAATATGTAATTCATCACTGTTCTTTGTTGAAAACTAATCACAATTCTGCAAAAATCTATCCTAAATGAATGTAACTATGGAAAAGCTTAACAGCGAAAATATATTAAAGCAAGATATATCACAGCATATTTTGTTTCTTTATATCAATTTTACACTTTCTAGTGCAAGTAATACAGATTTTTAATAAGGTTCTATACAATTTTTTTTTATTCAAACAATTATTAAACTGATTTACACATATATATGTCTAAATAAGTATAAATCAGTTTAACAATTGTTTTATTATGTTTATCGATTTACATCAAGTATCGACCTCATCAATTATTACAATTTTTTTTACCAACATAATCAAGCCTTGATCAAAGCGTTACACTAGAAAATTAATTCATCGTTCTTGAACAGGGGTATGCAATCAGTGGGGCGCGTCCCACTTGAGGGGGCTTAAGGTGATGCAAGGGGACACGCGACGAGTGGATTAGGTATTTATTGACCATATGGAGATTTGAGTCCATTGAAGTTTTCATTGTTTGTTTTTTTTTCATCGTACTTGAGTTAGAAAAAGAGGGGCGTAGTATTTCTGCGTAAACTTGAGGAAAGCGCATAGGGTTGGGCATGCCAGTTCTAGAAAAATCAAATTTTCATGGTGAAAAGGTATATTATTGAAAAATATCCTGATGATTTCGTATTGAAAATTATTAGATATCGTGTACTTGTGTTTTGAACGATGACCATTAAGATAAAGTTGCAGAATGATTCAAACGTCTTCTATTTCTGCTACGTCAGGACATACTAGGTCCTCTGAATTTACATAGAGATATATATTATTTCTTTGAAATTGTCTGGAAAAATTCAATTTTTTCACCTTATTTTACTCATTTTGCACAGGTACGTTACTGTAGTTCGGGCACCTCTTTATCTGTTCAGCAGTTAAAACAGTCTGGAATAGAGACCCCATATTTGACAATAACACTAAATTTTCCACGTATTGATACGGCTACGCCATGCACAAACGGGTTTTATTTAGCGTCAACCATCATAAACCAACGTTACAACCTATGGAATGTTCTATTTTACTGTACCCTCATATACACGTTGCGTACACCATAAATCGACTGTTCGATAGTATCTCCATATGCGTGGACTATAGTTTTCAAATATATATTTCCGTTGCATTAAAATACACTTATCTCGACGTTTTCATGGCCGGCTAGGATGAAAACAAGACAAGTTTGATAACGCGGTTACATGCTTTGAA